TGAATAATTAGAAAATGAAAATTGAGAAAAAATAGCATGCCCTAATGTTTGCTTTCTTAGATGGGATTGAACTAAAATAGTCTAATTGTGAAGGATTGTACTGTTGCCATAAAGTTAATCCTATGTTTGTTATATAGTATATAATAAGGGGTAGGATAACTTTAGATTTTTAAAAAAATGTTTTAAGTGGTGTAAAATACTGTTTTACTCCTCTGAAATAAATAAAAAAAAATAAAACTCTAGGGCAAAGATGATTTTATACATGCCCGGATTGTTGATATCTCATCTCCACAATAGTTGGGATTGAGTTATCCCATGAAACCAGGATTACATGTGTTTTAATCCCACGCCAAATGAATTACAACGGGCTGCCATTCTTCTAACCAAACGAAAGATTAAGGTAGGATAATGCGGGTTATCCTGTCTAGTTCTTCAAAGCAAATATGGGAAGATCGCATTGGTGACTTCCACTAACACCCACATTTGGTACTTTGTCGTGTGTATGTCGTTTGGTTTCAATAATTGGCTGCCCACTAATCTTCCATTCATTGATTCCAATAAATTATTTTGCCGCTTACGTTTTGTATTACCACTAATATATTTTTTTTTTCTAATTATTTGGTGAGGTTGCTTAACGGTTGAGTTATACAGTTTTCTTAATATATTTATATATTTTCAATTTAAATGTTATATGTTTAAAATATAATATAAATAAAAATATATCATCTCATACAATAATAAATATACAATATTTTTTAGTAAAAAAAGTATGATGGCTTGTTGGCTGAGTTGAAAAGCTTTGAAAGAACGAATCAAAATTCGCATAGCAATTATTTATTTACTCGAATTTTATATTATGATAGAAAATTAATATATATTGATGATTTCCCAGAAGAAAAAAAAAAATGTGACTGTTGATCAAGTTTTCAAACTCTAAAATCTCAAATTGCAAATACGTAAGTGGACCGATTTGGTTCATAAACTCGTAAAATCATAAAAGCCTTTTGGTAAAAATTGAATTCAGTCAATCCAACAAATCCCAATCTGGGTATTTAAAATGGGTTAAAAAAAAATCACTATCCCATTAAACACAATCACATGAAGAATCAAATTGCATTTACTCAGTTGCCAGAACTTAAAAAAGAAAACTTTTTTCACCTTAATTTAACGTCCAAAGAAAGTAAAAAGAAAAAAAATATATATATAAGAAAAACCCATCATCCAGCTACCTCTGAAATCGACCCTTTCTGTTTTTACAACTGTGCAGAGGTTCACGTTGGCATTTATCGTTGTTCAGTCGAAAAAATCTGTTCTTGAAAGCTCAAATCTCAGCTGTTGGAGTTAATTGTGTAAAGAGATAAGGGCTTGTTTGGTGATTGAAACCCATGGTCTGTTAAGGAGAATTCAAGAAGGGGAAAAAGTTCGGATCTTTTTTCTCTTCTTTTCCCAGGTATGTCTGTTTTGTAGCCTTTGCTTGGTTCTTTGAACTCTGTTATGACTTATGACATGATTTTGTTTTGGTGTAAAGATGGATTTTGCTTGAATTGGGCCAAGATTTTGACTTTAGTTGAGATTAACATTTAGTTAATCAGTTTTGTTAGAAAGACTGGAGATTTACTTGGTTGAGGTGATTCTTTGTGTTGTTTGATGTTTTTTTAAGATGGGTTTGGGTCTAATTGGTGTTAGTTTCTTTACTGAAATATATATTTTCTTTTATGCCACAAGATTTCATTTTGAGTATGAAATTACATGACTGCAATTTTATTTATTTATTTGTTGGCAACTGTTACCCAAATTCTGGTGGAACAATGGGAGAACAAAGAAGAAAAGATGTAGATATATATTACGTCTGAACTGTATTCCCAGCATATATTAAGTTATGAACTTTGGTCCCATTAGAAAATGAATATGAAGTCACAAAAATATTGGTTTATAGTCTTGAATTATCATGGAATGTTCGTTGAACACTATAATTCTACTGAATATTGTGTTTTCATGCCTGAAAAATTAGATAGAGTTGGAAATTCCAGGTGACATACATGATACATGGATACAATGATTTTGTATTTGAATTGTGGTTGTTTTTTTACTCTGCTTTATTGTCTTATCTCTGTTTCTCAAAGTGAACCAAATGACCTAATGCTAATCTTGGACACTGGTGTCTAAATTGTACCTAATGTTAAAATCTCAGTCAGAGTTTGATGTTTGCTTATAAATTTATAATGCATTACTTATATGCATTTGCACCTTCTGTTGTGCAATTTTTTTTCACGCACTTCTAATGCTTTTTTCTCCGTAGTTGAGTCGTAACTAATTGAGTAATGTCATAGTAAGCTTGTGGTAGTATTTGCATAGATGCTAATTCTTTTAACATCTGCTAGAAAAACCTCCCATCTTCTGAAATCACACGTTTTTACCCAAAAAAATTAAAAAAAAAAAATCCCTATATTTATTTAATCAATCAGGGGCAACTTAGAAATGGAGGCAGATGACTTAGACATGGAAAAACAACTGCACGAAGCCCATGAAGTGTTGTCCAAGGTGGGAACAATTCTCGCCAGCTGTTCAGACAAGCTAGCTCATTTGGAGAACCTTTTATCATGCTTCTTGGAAGATAATAATTACAATCACATTGGAGCAAACGGCTTTGAAAATGACGTCATATCGGAAGAATTAATCGAGAGGACCTTCACTTTCGATCTAATTAGTGCAATAATTAAATTTGAGCTGGGGGAGTTTGATGTTCTGTTTGGTGGCCTTCAAGAACTTATTGTCGATGGCCTTAGAAAGATACTGTCTTTCGATAATTCAACTGAGTTGATAAATTCCTTGGTGAATGGGCTGCACGATTCTGAAGTGTTGATAGAACATTCTAGAGATCGTGTTTTCGAGATGAAAGCTCGTCTAGCCAAGTTGCGGATGAGCTCGTTTTCTTCTGGCGAGCATGATTGTAAGTCTGATTGTTCTGTATAATAATATAATAATCTGTATATTATAGAGTTTCAAAATATGAACCTTTTTTTTTTTTTCAAAATATGTATATTTGCGTTGTTAACAGGGAGCAATGGTCTTCTACAGACAACCGAACAAAAGGTTCTCCTCAAAATGCTCGAAAAATCTCTCTCACGAGAGCTCGAGCTTGAGAAGAACCTAAAAGAGCTCAAACGAAACGAAAACGACTTCAAACAAAAAGTACGACTTGTCGAACAAGTCGCGTCCTTCATGGAAGAGGCTGCTGAGGTCACCTGGGCTCGCTTTCTAGAAGCCGACAGCATGGCTGAAGTACTCTCCGGAATCTCGAAAGACACGCTCTGCAAGCTCCAGCTGGCGCAAGCCGAGCTTGACCGGTCAACCAAAAGCGAACGGGAAAAAACCCGTCAAATTCAAGAGCTTGTAAATCAATTGCATGCAAAAGACTTGTTGATCGAGAAACTCAACACCAATATCTCGAGTCTTGCTGCTGATAATGCCAAAGTAGAAGATTTAAGAGAAAAGGTTCGATATCTCGAGGAAAAACTGAAAAAAACCGAGTCGAAACTCGAGGAGGTAGAGACAATAAACGAGACGAGTCAAAAACAGCTTATAGAGAGAGAAATCGAAATCGAGGCCTTGAGAGAGAAAACAAACGAGGCAGAGACTCGAGCGAAGATCGCGGAGGAAAAAGCCTCCCACTTGACAGACTCGAACCTTGAGCTGTCAGAGGAGCTCGATTTCCTCAAGGGCACAAACGACAGCAACTCGAAAAAATCGAGCATTTTGGAAAAGGAGCTAAGGGAGTTGGATATTCAGCTTCAGCACTCGAGGGCATTATCGGAAGCCAGCCAAGAGCAGCAAAACATGCTTTACTCGGCGATTTGGGACATGGAGACTTTGATAGACGAGCTGAAGCAGAAGGTGGCTAAGGCGGAGGGAAAAGCCGAGAGTGCCGAGGATAGATGTGTAATTTTATCCGAAACAAATTCGGATATTAGTAAGGAATTGGAGTTTATGAGGTCCCGAGTTGAGTTATTGGAGAATGCTTTGAGCCAAGCTGCTCTTGAGAAAAAATCGCGTTCGAAGGAGATTGGTGTTAGGAGCAATCGGATTATGGAGGTGGCTTTGCAGATTGCGACTGAGAGGGAACGCGTTCAGAATAA